TTATTAAATAAAATGGCTTTTAATAAAAAATTAAGGCCTCAAATGCGGTTGTATGATTTATCAATAATTTCAGTTATTTAAAAACCTGAGAATGCAGATTGCATTACGACATAATAAAAATCGCATGGTCGTTAATCAACGGAAATGAAGGCTGGAGGCTAAAGAGGAACAAGATAATTTCTATGAAGGCATAACCATAAGTCGTAAATTAAAAAATAATTATCACACAAAATATTAATGAAAATAATAATATAATAAATTACCTCATGACATTGAGACTTTGATCTCTATTTCTTTTGAAAAGATTAAAGAGTTCATTAAAATATTTATCTGATTCTGGATCTACCCTACAAAACGATTATAAAATTAAAAAAAAATACAAACAATTGCGGGAAAAATTGTAATAAAAAAATCTTGAATAGTAAATCATTGAATAAATGATATTAGGTATTCCTTACGCTTTCTCGTGATGGAGACAAAATGTTGTGCTTAAAAGGAGAGCCAGGATGAACAGCAAGAGTGTTGGAATGAAAACGGTTGTAAGGATTTCTTTGAAATAACTTCTCGTAGGGATATCTGATTTTTTAGGTCTTGCCCATCGCCATTCTGCATGTTCTGGGGTTTGTCTTCCAATAACATTCATGCTGGACCCACGTCGAGCACTTTCTTGATGCTGACTCTGATTCTCAGAGATCTATGAATTTTTAAAAGTATTTCATTAGATTTTATAAATCAATCAAGATGTAAAAAACAATTGCTTACAAGTTTAAATGAACACCAGTCCAAATAAAAATGGGCCTTCCTGAATAACACTTCTTTGCTGGTTCTTTTGTAGTCCTTGGGGCATGGGAATTTTTTTTTTAATGGTTTTACTTCTTCTTCAAGCTTCATAAGAACTTCAGAGAAAGGTGCGGAACTTCCTAATTTTAGCACAACCCTAAAAATAGCCACAAGTTTTAAATAATTTGTCATGTCCAAAAATCAATAACAATATCATATTTCCATTGTAGTCGAATGCGAATGTTAAATCATAGGAAATGGATTTTACAATAAGAAGTATTCATAATAGGATCTGAGAAAACTCTTATTTTGGTGAAAAAAAAAACAAATTATTTTTACATTATTTTTACATTATTTAATTACAGAAAAAAAAATCAAATCGATTGGTCATTTGGTTTAGGCGATATAATTATCGAAAATCCATAAATTAATATACCTTTTATGGAGACTATCTCGATACAACAACCTTAAGCACCTTTGACATTTTGAAATTCAAATTAATCGGCTGTCAAAATTTTTCAGGCACTTCCCAAGGATAAAATTCTAACTTTATTACATTTTACTGTTTCAATATTCTAGATTATTGTTCAGGTTTTCAATCTGTATTTTTCTGAAGATCAAGAATATAGAAGATTACTTTTGAGCATAAAATTTACTTGAAATCTTTCGATTGTTTCTAATCCCTGAAAACTTTCTCGTCTGTGAATCTCCTTTTTATTGTTCCTGAATAATAGCATCCAATCATGAAAGTAAAAAGCCAAAAATGAAGTTCGCCCGAGTCGAAATATCTCGAAACGCGTAGGACTAATTCCTCATTGGTCGAGTCGAACCGCCAAATTCAAATTCGGCGCACAGACTGCGCAGTAGGTCCCGTAAGAGATAAAAATCAAACCTCGCGTTGTCCGAATTAAACAGAAAACATAAAGCATTAAACTTCATTTGCAAAATCAAAATGCAACTTTTCTCTATTTTCATATCAAAGACCTAGTTTTAAAATTGCATTCAGTCTCCGGACATGACAAAATCTGCGAATGAGAGAAGACAGTAATCAAGATTTTTCTACTTTCAAATAATATATGAAAGAAAGAGATGTAGGTCTTAGTTATTTCATTTGACACTAGAGGTCCAGTGACTCCAAAATTTGTTTACGCCTGTTCCTTCCATTGTTATCATTTTGGAGCAATTGTTTTCTCTAACACGCAAAATAACATCGCCAGTGTACAACAAATAGCAACAACATTGTTTAAAAATGGAAGTCTCGGATCCACAACCAAGTGATTCGAGAGCTCTGCAGCAAGACTTAATTCCAGTGCTTCAAAAATTTGACAAAACCAATGAAAATATTAATGACATATACATAATTAAAAATCAGGTAATTGGACAATTTTTATTGGCATTCTCTTTTGTTTGTGTTTGCAAGCATATGCGATTAATAATTTATCTTTGAAATTTCAGTTCACTATTGGAAGAGCTCGAGATAACGATGAGGTTATTTGCAGTGTTGTTATCTCTCGTTACCATTGTATTCTGGAATGCGACAGACATAATGATTGGATCGTAAAGAACTTGAGCTCCAATGGAACTCTTTTGAATGGTCAGTTACTGGGACCAAATATATCTAAAAGTATTACTCTCGGGGACGTAGTACAATTCTCTGTTGTAGGAGATTATAAATATTTTTTTACACTAAGATTCAAAGACGAAATCCCTGTGAAGAGACGACGAATTGATGAGACATCACAAAATGAAAATCTCTCTAGGACTCATACCTTTGGGGATTATCAAGAAATAAGAAGGAAGGAAATGGAGATGGAACTTATATCGAAGAGACAGGAACAGAAAGATCTCAAAAAATTGCTGGATGAATGTCTGGAACGACAAGAAACTGAAAATGATTTTATAATGGCTGAGAGGATAGACAGCTTGAAAGATGCTTTAGAGACAGCCCAACAAATGGTTAAGATTTTGGAAGGGACATATAATATTTTTCAGGCAAGAATGGATGAAGAGCGAAAAGAGTTTGATGCTAATATTATGAGGGAGACCCAGAAGCTAGAACGGGAATTGAATACGAATAATAAGCAAGTCGAAAGAATAATTATACAGAAGATAGACAAGTGGGCGAGAAAGCATCAGAGCAAATGGTCGGACATTATCAGAGATATGATGAAAGAGGAGAAGATTAAGCTAGAGAAATTGGAGAGTGAAAACTTTAGTCTTGCGACGAAATTAAAGAAAACAGAGGATGCATTAAAAATTACTAAGGACGCACTCATGGAGAAATCTGTCTTAGCTAGACATCTCCAAGAGCAACGTAAATGTCTTACGTTTATTTATTGTTGATAATTATTCAACTTTTTACATTTTTTTTTAGTAATAATAATAATCCATTTTATGAGAGAATATTTATTTTTCTTTAAAAAAAATTTTGGAATTGAAATAAACGCGAGTCCTAAATGAAATTTTATTTTTATTTGGGAATTTATCCTGATCTTAAGACGAATATTAAAATAGCATTGAGTAAGAATAAAATCGATACGGGAATGTATAATTTCTATTTGTATTTCCTTTCAGAAATGTCATCAAACTCTAAAAATAATCTTCGTGGAAAGGTAGAAGATATCTTAGACGAGCAATTATCCTGCAGCATATGCTCTGAAATCTTCGTTAACCCCACGTCGCTAAATTGTCGTCACACATTCTGTAAGTTCTGCATATCCTCATGGAAGAAAAAAAATAAAAAAGCCAATTGTCCAATATGTCGAGTAAGAATAAAATCAATGAATCAATCAATGGCATTTGATTGTCTTATTGAAAAAATGGTCAGAGAATTGTCCTCGGAGCTGAGAGAACGCAGAGAACAACTCATCAAAGAACGTAGAGGCAGTTGAGAATTATTTATCTTAGAATAATGTTAGGAGCTTTTATATAAGGGTATAAATTATATAAACTCGTATTCTCTGACGTGTTTTGTCGGAAATCGATAAGGAATGACGTAAATGAAAGGAAGGGTGATTCACTCAGCCTAGGTCACAGGAAGAGTCGTATCAATTCTTTTTATAGACTTGCATTTAATTACGCAGAAATTAGGCAATGATCTATTAGATTGCATTAGCCTCGTTGCATCGTTGCATCGAATTACTTATAATAAACTCTAAAATATTGTTTAATATTTTTCAAAGAAAATTACATTTTATTCGTTGCAACAATTAAATGATTTAACGAATCATGTGAATTTTATAAAATAACATTTTTCTAGGTTTAAATAAACAAATAGAGTAATTAATTGACAGACTGTCGTGGAATTTTTCATAAAGAAAAACAATGTAAATAATGCAAAAAAATGGTTAATGATATTATAATGATATTTGACAGTACTATTATATAATTACGATAATTATGTAAAAAAATAAGACAATATCTGTGAAAAGCATTTATTATTCAACTCAATTGTCAATTCATTAACAAAATAAAACAACTAAATCAGTTAAAAGAATTTCCTATAAAAATATAAAGCCATGAGTATTCATTAAAGCAATTCTCAAAGAAACTATATAATAAAAACTAAATTCTTACCCCTCAGGTTCGTTGGGATCTAGTGGCAATCGGGCACCTTCTTCTACTGCCGATGCCAAATAAGTTATACAAACATCCTTCGCCTCCAGCCACAATTCCTTTCTAAAATAAAATCAAGTCAATAATGTTTTATAATAATAAATCAATTTTTCCAATCATCCTAAATTTTTTAACGAATGATTCATCCATCACCTAAACAGATCCAGAAGTGTTTCCACCGTTGTCTTATTAAATGCATCATCAATTCTTAGATTATCAATCTTCAAGTAAACTTCATATTTTGTTGAGTTTTCATTCTGTTGAACATTCATATCCAGAACTTTATAATTGGTATTGTATGTTTTCTTGCTCAATCCGACAATTTGAAGCTGAAAAATAAAAATTGAGCTTTTACCAAAGAGATCATGATTACAGTAATTGGAAACGCAAAACAAAAAATACAATAATTCGAGCCCATCGAATGGATCGAATGAATGATTCAATAACAAAACTTTTCAAACAAATTCGATTAACATTTCAATAATTAATTAATTAATCAGTTAAGGGGTTACAAGGATTTCCTGGCCAAAATAAAAAAGATGTTTATCCTTTTTTTAATTAAAAATGCAATCAATTAAAACTTTCTCTCATACTAAAGATATTACAAACAGCGAAACCCATGCAACTAATTTATGACAATTAAAAAAAAAACATTAACAATATTTACCGTGAAATTCCCTTGATTCTTTGGAGCAACTCCATACAGAAATCCCTGGTGATGTTTACCACTGTACGTATAATGAATCCAGGGTGGTAAATCCGGAGAATTGAGCAGAGAAGCTTGATACGAAAAGTCCGTTCCCTGAGAGGAATCCTCTGATTGACAGAAAGATGATTAATTACTTTCTGTAAAATTGATAAAACACTTGGTTTACCTGTAACTCCAAAAAGCTCAGGACCAATGGGAATGACAAACACCTTGGAGGTCAGGATGCTCTCCCCCAGAGCATCCTGGAGTCCCCAAATAATTGTGATAATCCATATGAACATCTTCATAATTAATTACTAAAAGATTTAATATTTTTGGATGAAATTATACATGCCAGCACATGCTCCAAACTTCTCGGTTTCACATAGAAATTTGAGGGGCGCGTGCGCCAGTTTTCCAGTGCCGTGACGTCCCGGAAATCCCCAGGAACTCGAAAACCCTCATACCCGACGAAATCCTAAAAGTGTTAAAAATAATTCACGTAATTATCGTCATTATGAATTCTCCCGGCGACTTAAACAATTGATATTTATGTGATCTTCGAGGTTATGTTTGTGTATTGTCTCTAATGATTGTTAGTCAGTCGAAATAGTCGAAACGTAATGACAAAAACAGGAGATAGAAGCGAAAATAAAAAAAAAATGTTTAATTACGTCACTGGCTATTGACGTACGAGGAATGGTAGGCGTGGCTTATCCAACCATCATCCAGTTTCACACCGTCTCAATATCAACATTTTTCTCAATAGTAAAATAAAAGGGTGAACATAAAACAGAGTACGTATCAAATAGGAGAAAATTAAATTGACACAGACACGTACATTAAAATCAATCACAGCGACGACTCCGTCCCTTCCCTTACCGTTAATCACCAGCGAATCCCAACGTTTCATTTTTTTTTTTTTCACCGTGTATACATAACATTATTATTATGGTTTTGTTGTATTAAAATTAATAATGCGGATAGTCAGTCGACGGTTAGATGAGTGCGAGGAAGTACGTCCTCAGGTGGCTATTCGCCCCCGGGGGTTGAATCGTCGGTGAAAGCTATTTCATTTTATTTATTATTTATCGAGGTTTGACACTTTATATTTTATGAACAAATACCTCTATCTCTCTAGTTGTTTTATAGAATAATTTATTTATTCAGTACTACCCTTTGTGTAGGTTTTTATGTGTGTGGAGAGGTTGACATGGTGCCAGTGCTTTTCAACTATTTGGAGTCTGTGTTGGAGTGTTGACAATTACTAGGGCTTTTTTATTATTGCATCGAGAAGCTCAAGAACGGGTGGAAAAATGTCGGGAATACCTGTCCTACTCATCACTGCCAATGTTGGCAGCATCTTCGAGGAGGTATGAATTATATGAATTTTATTCAAGGATTTATCATTTTTTTCCTTCCCAAAAGAAAAATTGCAATTGTTAATTAAATAAATGTAGATTAATTCCAAATAATTGGGAATTTCGTCAGTTCATAGCCCCCAATATGATTTTTATCTGTAGTAAATTTCAGCGGGATCTGTCTGTTAGTTTTCGAGATATCGGTGATTGTTTCTGAAACCTTTTGTGCGAATATCTCAGAAACTTTCCAACTAATTTAATTTTTTATGTTGGAATTCGGCAGAAAGCTTTCTCTTATGATCACAATATTTTCTATTGAAGATGGACTGGATCGAATGATTGATTCAGGAGATATTAAATATTTAAAGGATTTTCTTGAATCTCTAAAAAACGATTTGACTGCTGAATTTTTTACACATGTAATTGAGACGAAAAATTTGTATTCATTTATATTTAGAAGAATTTACGTAATTGCAAATTATTATTCGTCGACGTAGCGATCCACGAAAGCAATTGCTGGATAAATTTTCTAGAAAAATATTGACACTCTGTTTGCAGTGGATTAAATCCTCGAGAAAAATGTTATCCAATATTTCTCGATATATATGACTTAATCTGACTAATTGAATTGTCATACTATTTTCTAGCCTGAAACAATGCTAAAAATATGGACAGAGGAATTTTTGTCGGTGAGTCGAGGATGATTCAATAATAGATATTTTTTTTCTATTCCCCAACCGACGAAAAATAATACAGAGAATGTTTTTCTATCTTCAGACTGTTTCGAGACTGGATCCGAAGTTTATAGCACTGCACTGCCAAGAAGTAGGTGGTAAAAATTACGAACAAAGCATGAGGCACGTCGAAGACTTTGTTAGGTAAGAAAACGTATGAAGTGAAGGGTTTATCAATTTTAAAAATTTCAAGTTAAACTAGACGTGAATTCCTCAGTCATGACTTCTGATACACTCATTTGGAATTTACGTGTTGACTCATTTCTCTCGCTTTTATCAGATGACTATAATGATAAAGAGTAAATAAAGTACTGGGATTTTAACGCACGAGTCAACGCCAGTGTAAAAATAGCAATAATGAGATAACCGATTATTATTATTCTTTTTTTTTACACACGATTGAGCGCCCTCAAAGGGTTTTTCAATCTCACATTGAATTAACGGAGCAGGCATGAAAGGGAAACATTTTTAAAGCGCTATTTAATCGTCTAGAGATAAAAATCAATAGTCTGATAGAGCAGTGGGTCAATCTTTAATTAATCAGTCACTCAGACAAAAATCAATAATCAAGACGAATTCATTCTAGGCTACTTATGTCTTCGGAGGAATTGCGACTCTTCGATAAAGTCAGGGTATATCTGGATGAAGATTTCTCATCAGCCGAACATTTCACAGCCCTTGGAAATTTTTATTTCATACACGAGTCTTTAAAAGACGTTTTGTTATGGGATTTCAAAGGTACTAATCTACTCTCTCTGATTAATTCCGTACTTTTCTCCTTCTTCCATTTGCTTCACTCTAAAAAATAGTTTGCCTTCAATTTAATTCATTGAATCTCGGAAAAGGAATTTTTTTCGAAGATACAGTTTAATTGAAATTTTCATTTCCTTTTGTAGAGTGCACATTTATCCCAGTGGGTGGAAAAGAGGTTCATTCTGGAAATATCGAGTCAGTAACGACCAAAGAGAAGGCAAAATTCCCGCAGGATTTTTTTCCCGAATGCAAATGGTCCAGAAAAGGATTTCTACGTACACGATGGAGTGTCAGCGGAACAGTATTTGATCTCATTAACATACACTTGTTTCACGATGCTAGTAATTTTATTGCAATGGAGACTGTAAGTCCACAGAATTCACATAATTAAATAGGTCAGGGATTGTATGAATTTTTCTCACTTGTAAAAATATTCTGGGTGTTTAGTTTCCGTCAGTATATAGCAAAACAAGAAGGAGGGCACTTGAGCACACCCTCGAACGATTTCATAATGATCACTATGAAAATGCACCGTATTTTCTATTCGGTGATTTTAATTTTCGTACTGATACTGCTGGTGTCATAAAGGTAATGTACAATTTTTAAAAAATAGAAAATAAAATACACGGAGATAACTTTTCTCTTGTATTATTTATTTTTATGCTTGTGATTAACAAATGCCTGATAACGTTCTTTTGCTTTTGTCAGATATTTACCCATCACTCTCCAATTATTTAACGATAAAATACAAGTTGTTTTCAATGTATATAATTTATCATTATCCATGAGTTGTGACTTATTCTTCTTCTAACAAAATGAAAAAGCCTTTCTAACAATACTTCAATGTAATTCCACAGAAACTTACCGAAGATACTCACGAAAGCAAGCTGTCGAGTAAGGGTAATATTTCTAGATTACAGTTTCGCAACAATGAAGAGAATCTGATCCTAACACTAGGCAAGAAAGAATTCTCCCATTGTGAACATCGACACGTATTCGCGGAGAACAGTGGTCGATGGGTAAATTCACTTAACTATTTTTACATATATTTTTTAATGAAATAATCGGTGATTAATTTACCCTAGTTACGGGAGTATGATCGGGAGCTGGATGACTTCGAGGGTAGGCTCTTTGAATTTCCAATCGAGTTTGTCCCAAGTTATCCATTTGAAGAGGACGTCAAACAGGGGAGTAATTATATGCAGACAAGAGTACCTGCTTGGTGTGATAGAATACTCTTGAGTCCCGCTGCTAAAACACTAGTCCAGAATGTGAGTCAACAACTATTTATTAACTATTAAAAATTCAAAAATCTCTATTTTGTGTACATGCGCAAATCCCAAACATTTTAAACTATCCAATACTGTTTGAATTCTTGTTTTTAAATAGATATCATCCTCTGATAGTGCGGAATATGGTATCATCGGGGCAACCACTTGTATGGGCGATCACAAGGTAACAAAAATCAGTTTATCCAATAACAACAAATGCTAAATAACAATATAAAAGATAATAGTAATAATGACTTCTTTACCTTCTATTTGCAATTATTTTATAAATGAAGAATAATATGAAAATAATTTTTAATACCGGACTACATAGCCACACCGTATTTATTTATCATTTTTATTATCTTTATTAAAACGAAAACGTTCTTTCAATGATTATTGTGCAGCCTGTTTTTCTGGAGTTTCGAATGATTCTCTAAACACTCAAAGGTACTAAGAAACTTGTCTCTCTGTTTCTCTGCTCCTAAATTTATTTTCATTCACCATATTTTTTATTTATTTTATCCCTTACAACATTGAGAACAATTATAATATTATTATTTGGGGCTTGCTTACTTTATTAATTGAGTATTTCCACAGTGGACTTCATATCTTATTATTTTTGTTTTATATTTTTTAAAACTTTTACCAACTTCCCTTTACCACCGTGTTGTGCACATAATCATCATCATCATCATCATCATCATCATCATCATCATCATGACTGATAGTTTCGAAGAATATTGTGTATCCAGATATATTCCCCAACAGCCTAGAACATTTGTTTAGAATATAAATGACACAGCTCCTATTAATGACCCGTTGAGAGTTTTCTGTAATCAAGTAGAATGAAAAACAGCAATGGCACGAATTCCATTCCCCAATTATAATTTTTGATGCATTGTTTGAATTATTATTGTAATATTTATGGTAAATGGTCAATCCACTTAATTACAGAAATGAATTGAAAGCACAGATAAATGATTATTGGAGGTACCATGTACGATATTATGCCCTTTTTCCAGCCAGTCTACCTCCGTGCAATATTGTCCATGGATGCAGGTATGATAAATTGCTGTACTGGAAAATTGCCTCACATGTGTTTTAAAGTGCCCGATAATTATCACGAATTATTGTCAATGTTGCCTGCCTGTCGAGCTAGTTATTCACGTTCACGTTCAAATGATCGTGTACCATCATCAACGAGGCTTTTGCACGCTGTCCCAATTGAGCATGATCCGTACACACCGGACAGCATGGATAGTCCAAGCCCAAGTGCATTTGCTGTACCAACAGACAGTGATATTCAAGAATCAGATCCAATTACCTGTGAATTATCAAAACGACGACACGAAGCTATTAAACGTTTCGATTCAGCTGTATCACCTGCGTTGCTCAAGTCTCGTCTTGAACTTGTTGTTCAATGCAATGAGATTGCTGAAAGGGAGAGAAGGCGAAAAAATATGAGTGAGTGTCGACTGCGCTCTTGGCCAGAGACTGATGACAGGCAGTTGCAGGGGATACGAGAGCACAGATGTAACAGTGATGTATCTTGGCAACGAAATTTACCTCGTAAATTGTATCGATTCAGGAGATCATCATCAGACACCAGTTCAGATGACAATCCCATTTCTCGAGTTATTATTCCCAGGATAGCTATAATAAATGCAAGTAATTTTCAGTCTAATGAATCATCGGTTCATTCTCCCGAGGAGGAGCATCTTGCCATCAAGTACCAGAGACATTCAGACAGTAAAGATGGTACTAGTGTTGATGGATCGAGTTTAGAACTTGATATCGATGAAGAGCAGCCAGCAGAGTTGCTGAAAAGGGGAGGAAAAATTTCGAGAGCACATGACAGTGGTCTGGACACTCTTGATGTTGAGGATGGATTGTCTAGGGGTGGCTCGACAGGTTTCAGCTCCAATGAGACCACTTCGACGTTGCCTTTGGACTCGGAGAAGGACGACAGTCAAAATACTGATAAAAAAAACGAGATGGAAAGCTTGGAGATTGTTAATCAGCAATCACCGTCATTGATAGACAATGTCCAAGAGATTAAAATTGATGTTATTGCGTCGAGCAGTGGCTCCTCGCATATTCACAAGGCCTCCATTGAAGAGAGTAGCTGTGGAAGTAATACGATGAGACTCAAGGCTCACAGGACTACCCAAAGATATCGTAGTGACATTCTTGAGAAAAAAAGAAAATGCTGCAAGTGCTGCTGCATTATTAGTTAGTTACCCAGCGAAAGTTCAAATCGAACCTATTTATTGATATTTATTATTTATTGTTGATGTTTTTATTGAATTATTTTCAAGGGACACAAGAATGATCAACTAGAATGGATCATTCCTCAGTTTATCTGTTGTGTTCACCTGAGATTAATTCACGAAAAGTTGTAAGAATCGTGAGTCGATATCACGAGAGCTTGGAGAGTTGAAAATTGTTACCTCAAATTGTCAACCAAGTGGAACGTCATTAAGATGTAAACAATAATATTTAATCTCTTCAAGTTCTCGTAATGGACACCAAAATGTATTTTCTTACTCTTTAATTTGAAAACTTGTGTTTGCCCAACTGCCAAAGTTAGAAGATTTTCTGAATGTTTGTACTATTGCTTAAGTGTTGAATCACTCTAGTATATTTTGTTAGACTGTTTGTAGTATTTTTTAAAAAATCAACAGGGAATACCGGTGCGTGTGCCATTTTTTAATATCGAAATTCCACGTAGAATTTCTATCTAGTTTATATTTATTGAGATTGGCGGGAGGATTTTAGTTGTAATTCTAGTACTTAAATCGCAAAAATGGAATATATTTAGATCACCCTGGGCATGTCGTTGAGGATGTTCCATCAATATTTAATGCATCGATATTTTTTTATTATCATTGATTCTGCACCTGTTTGCGTTGTGATTTTCCTTCGGTCTTTTATGATGAGAAAAATAATCTCTATTTAATTTTCATTCTATAACTTTTTCGTGTATTCGATCTTGACTAACAATTCTTCAATTCCCCTTGAGCTTCCGACAATTAGTTCTCTATAAATATCTCGATACATCTATGTACCTAATTGTTTACATTATCGTTGTATTTATTTATGGAATTGGAATTTCGCTCTTGGCCTGATTATTGTCTTGCTCAAGTGAACAAATTTAGTACAATGAAAATATTGATGTTTATGCACGTTTTAAAATGTTTTCTCTTTAATTTAATGTCACGTTCTTGATGGATAAATATTTGAGGTACTTGAGTAGTGAGGATATATCAAAGTAAGTGGATCAAGTGTCTTTGTACGTCACAAGATATTTACGTAAGCAAAAAGATATCTACTGAGTCTAAACTATTTTCTATGATAAATAAAAAAATAATTTTATATTTATCACATTGGATATGTACGTCATACGAATTTTTAATTACTTCAAATTTTTTTTATCGAGATTTCATTGACAGAATTGATGTATTGGGGGAATATTGAAAATTAATTTTGAGACACTTGTTTTGATCCTCAATTCGATTATTCAGGTGAATGATGAATGAGTTAATTGATAGTGAAAGAAAAAAATTGTTGATGATTGCTTGCGATAGAATTGTTGGAGTCTAATTGCGAGTACGAGAGAAATGGAGAAGCACTGGTGAATTCGATTGGAGCAACAAATGGCAGCAACGGTACAGCAACAATTACACGTTACATCCACATTAAACACGCTGATTCGTCCGTTAAAATATTTCGCGAAACGACCGTCTGATGTTCAACAAATATTCCCCTCGATAATTAAATTAATAAATGTATTAGGAAATGACTAAAAGTGTTAAAAAAATTGTCGAAAAAGTAACAAACAAGCATAAACATAATTGTAATATTAAAATGAACGTAAGAAAGTTGATTATTATTATATTTGAGATTTTTAAATCGATTTTCCGTTCTCTAGGACAGAGACAGTACTTATAAGAAAAAATTGTTTATGTAATCGTCATTGATGTAAAAAAAAAGGGCCAGATCTTGTCCGTCGTATGAACGTAGTAGGTGTTCACAAGAATTCCTCACAATTCTTTTCGATAAATTATTGATAAAATTTTTTTAACTTGTCATCAATTCCGAGGGAAAATTCAGCTTTATATCCAAAGAATGATTTTTTTGTTTAAAATTTAACCAATTAATTGTTTAATAGAATATAAAAATTTTTATAGAGTTTATGATTTGTTAAAAATGAGGAACAAATTCAAATTTCATTAAATTTAAATGAATAACTGAAAATATTTAAGCGAATGGTTATTCAATGTAATTGAGGACGAATCTTGATAACAGATGAAATATAAAAAAGTTTATTTATTGATAACTCTTCCAGTTTGTTAAAGTACTTATCCCTTGTATAATTTATATTACAAGGTAGATAAAGAAGAAATAGGAAAATCATTAGCAAGCCATTCCTCTAGGTAAATTAAAATTATTAAGATAATTTAGGTTTTTGATGATAAGTTGGAGAAACGATGCTTTAACGAAGAATGTCTGCCAGCACGAATTTTTATTCATGAAAATGTTATTAAGAGATTATATAATCCATTGTCATCCCGTTAGTTGAAGATAAAGGAAGAAAATCTCCCCTTAAGAATCATGAATGTTGTACTTTTATAAATATATATGAGTGTACTTATATTTTGTAAGGGCAGTGCCATGTATACTTGGACGCACCATTTTTCCATGTTAACAATTCACAAGAACGTTGAATTACCAAAAGTTTTGTTTTTGCTTGTTGTTAAAAATAGACAGAGTATTGAATATTTGGACGTAATTAGATAGTGCACTCTGCGCTTTATGTACTGTTCAGAAAGTAGTCAATAAAGTTATCAATGTCTGACTCCAAATTTTTCAATTGGCACGTCAGATTTCAAAATAAAGATCAATGGTGAAATTAATTTGTTGATTAATTGGTAAAAGTGTATATTAGGGGCCTCACCTCCGATTTGCTTGAAATTTTTTAGAGGCAGTCATTTATTATCCATCGAAAACGCATACAATGCGAGATATTATTTTTTTTTAAATAATATTCTTTAATCTCGGTTACCCTGTATGTACATCATCGGTGTGTCGTTTTTGAAAGGCTGTACTAATTTAAAATTTTTATTTACAACAGTGTAAATTGCATTGTGAATTAATTTAATTCCAATTATTTTCGAATTTATTTATACAAACAAGGATTAACTTTATTTTCATTCGAATATTCGAAAATAAGACTTTGTCCATTAATTAACCGTGCGTTATCAAACAAATCAGACAATCCCAAGTCCATTTTTTCTGCAAGAACTTCTCCAGTTGAATGATTAAATATCCTGAGTTTAGCAGTATTGGCTAAATTATTAGAGTTTGGAATTTTGAGAATTTCAGCGATGGAATCGATTATTTTGCCGATTGTCCAGCGAACACTGGTGAATACAGGTGCTGGTTCCTTTTTGCAGATAGCCACTGGAAAATAAACCAGAAAGTATCTTCGGTCGACTGTGGGAATACCTTGAGCACCAACTGCTCTTCCTTTTAGTCTCATCAGCTGTACCTATTACAGAGTAATGAATACACATTAAAAATGCCAAAAACCATGAGTATTACAAGGATTAGTGTTTAAATGAATCCCAGACTTTACCTTGTTAGCCATTTCAATTCGTTTTGCCTTTTTCAAATTTTCATCAATTTCTGCATCGACTGCGCTTTTAGCAGCTTTGAATTGTTCCTTAGGTTTTTCCCATTCTTTAATTTTCTTGGCAGTCTCATTCTGGCTCATTTCTAAGCATCCATGATATCGATGAGCAAGACAGAAATGTTTTTTACATTCAATACAATTAATCTCAACTGGAGAAGAGCTTTTGCATGATTCTTGGGAGCACATGAAACCCTGGATTTTCACAGGCTCCGAGACAATATTATCTAGAGTTTCTTTGCAATTATGCGAGATTGGATTAAAGTGATTTCTGCAAAAAATTGAGGAGCAATGGGTGCAGGTGAATGGGAGGAAATCGTTTTGTTTGCAGGAGTCTATGGTACAGTGGGTTCCAACTCTGGGGAATTCCATATTTCGAATTAATAAAAAAGAAATTCAGAGAATAACAAATGATGGTTAATTGTGAGATGGAGTTGGCGAATGCAAGTGGTTTTCACTGAGAGATCCAAGGGCTAGATTATTCCACTTCTGTTCCAATTCCTTGAGAGTCATGTGCGAGTCTCCATTGTCACTTTCTGGATCTGGTAATTCTGATGATGGCACTACAATATCATCGATTGGAAGACGTTCTTTTCTCCAAGCCTCGTCGATCAATTCTAATAATCTCCCGTCACAACACACTTGGCTGTCCATGTTATTACAATAACAGAAATCTGAAGTTATTTATGATTAATTACTCCCCAGTAATATTTGCTGAATTACATTTTTATCTTTTACTTACGATTTCAATTACCAGATTGTGAATGGTAAAAGTGGCAGTCGTGAGTTGTTACTTTTATATTTATGTTGAATGAGAGAAACTTTTGCTATTTATTATCTTGTTTTTTAGGTTAGTGACGTGCGAATAGTAAATAGGGTAAATAACAAAGAATAGCTTTCATGAAAACTACATTACCGATAATCAATAGAATGGTTTGAAACCGTCTGATGGTACAGAAGATTTCGCAGGGTAACGCCTCCCGGGAATTCCCCCAAATAACTCAATGTTTTGCTATTTTGTTCCCAAGATTTGGATACTAGGTTTTTTTATCATGAAATTCGATTGTAAGTACAGAAAATTATCAATAAAACTTGAGGAAGATTTATATATTTTCAATTGATATTTATGATTATTTATGATGAGAGAAACTTCTGCTATTTATTAACTTGTTTTTTAGGTTAGTGATGTGCGAATAGTAAATAGGGTAAATAACAAAGAATAGCTTTCATGAAAACTACATTACCGATAATCAATAGAATAGTTTGAAACCTTCTGATGGTACAGATGATTTCGCAGGGTAACGCCTTCCGGGAATTCCCTCAAATAACTCAATGTTTTGATTTTGTTTTCAAGATTTTGATACTAGCTTTTTGAACACGAAATTCGATTCTAAACTTGAAGGAGATTCATCAATTAAAAAAATTAAACTTGAAATAATAATAAACGGAGAGAAAGGTTGAAAAAGTTAGAATAAATGTCATATTCATTTCATTTTAATAATACCAGGTGATATAATTTATTGCACAGAGCCTGAAAATTAGTCTTTGTCTGATGGTTTTGAAAAATTTCAGTAACAACTGAAGAAGAGTGATTTTTCGCTGTGAATTTTTGATTTTTACCTTGCAATGAACACTTGGATTCTTTGATCTACAAAGTTCACATCGTCATTGAACGACGTAGGACGTTGACACTAAATTCAATTAATTTATATACACAGTACAATATTGATCGCAAGCCTCGCGTCGATTTTTTCATTTTTGCAAAGTGAAAGCTCCACAATTGATTTCTCCCATTGTTTCTAAAAAAAAATTTCTTCCAACCAATTGCCACGTTAATTGTCACTCATTAATTGTTTCCCTCATTTGAAACTCACAATCAAACCATGTCTCATCTCCTAGGGTAATAAAATTAATTGTAAATCGGACTATCTATTCGTTAATACACAGAATGTAACTACTTAAAAGATAATCATTTCAATTCGCCATTTCGCTTATTCAGTGTTCTCTTCTCAGCTCTGGGAGTAAAAAATAACGGGATAATGAAAACATTTATCTCTAAGAGAGATGGAAGGAAGGGAAAGGTAAAGGGACAATGCGAAGGGCGACATTATTTGTACAATATTTACAGGCGCGACCGTGCAATTACAATTAGTTAATCATTCAATAATTGAATTATACACGAAAAAAAAAATGTGCTTTCATCACTAATGGCTGATAAACACAATTCATCTAATTAGAGAGCTTTACATCCGAATAAAAAAATCTCAACTAAGCAATAACAAATGAAACTTCAAGAGCCATTAATAGGTCAAAAAATGTAAATTGAGTTTCCTAGGGAAAAAATTTTTTTCAAGTCCATTACGAGTGAACTGTCATATCTCTCCTCTCACCTAGACATCGGTTACACCGGTATCTTTGTAATAAATTTCATAAAAACGTATTAAACAAATAATGATTGATGAAGTCGCTGATATGCACTGGAGTTTGAATTCCTTATTTTTCACCAATAAAACAGACTTTGGATTGGTTATTCTTCACTTATTTAAGTACACGCCATATATTTTCAAGCTACTAGGAGGCCGAGCTGTACCAGCCATTAGCGGTGGCCTTGTTGCTAGGATGATAGAGATGAAATCCAGGTCCAGCAGCTGGATGATGATAGAATTGGGGTTGATCAGTGAGGCCAGCAGAGGCTGCATAGGCAGCAGCAGCATCGAGAGCACTAGGATGAACAGCAGCTGAGTAAACCTGTGGTTTTAGTGGTAAAGGCTGAGCTGGTTCATACTGGTGTCTCAGAAGAGGATCTCCATAAACAGGAGTCTCATAACTGCTAACTACACTTGAAGAATGCAATTGGGCTTGCTGCTGTTGCTGTTGCTGTTGCTGTTGCTGCTGCTGTTGCTGATGAGCTTGCTGTTGCTGCTGCTTGTCTCTCGGTGAAACTGACGATGGTGGAGTCATAGCTGAATGATAATCCACTCCATATCCACCAGCTGATGAATACGAAGATACTAGACTGGGAAAGGGTTCAGCACCACTTGTACCTGTTGCCGATTTCTGATTGTGCCCTAGAACAAACTGATGCTCACCATACGTTGATGAACCCTCAGAGCCAGGTGGTGTTGGTAATGGACCCTGAGGTGTTTCTCCTGAGTAATAACCACCACCTGATGTTGGAGTTCTACTCGTACTCGAACTCATACCGTGAACATTTCTGATTACACTCTCTCGATTAACGTAAAGCTGACGGAGAAGTGCTGATGCTGGATGAGGAGCGGTCGATGACTGCTGGGGACTGAGATGTCCCAGATGATGATGAGCACCAATCCACTGAATCGTTGATTTTTGTTGCTGTTGCTTCAAGAGAGCGTCTGTACTGAAATCCGTTGGCTGATGGAGAGCTGGAGATTCGGGCTTGCTCAGTGATGCTCCTGGTAAATGTTTTGACATTGCCTGCTCTAAATCTTTGACAGAGGTACCCCCATGAACTTCATCTCTGGTCTCAGTTCTTCGTATCTTTGGGCTCGATGATCTCAGCACTTGGTCATTGGGTATCGAATGATTTGATGAAGCTGGACTCAATGCGTGATTTCTCGGTGTTTTTACAGTCTCGTCGTCATCATCGTCTTCACCAGATGAAGTGTCATCCTCTTGTGAGAATTTTCGTTTGTGACGGGTCAACGACTTGACGGATAAACTTCCTAAATTAGTCACTGTTGCCTGTGGTTCTTGTTGAAGCTGAGATACATTGTCATGATGGCGACCACCACGGGTCTCGCCTTCTGAATTTCTACTGTCCTCTCGATCTTCAGGAGGCGAGTGATGTGGATTCTCGGGATGAGAGTTTGGAGGACCGCCACTATTTCGTCCCTCTGAAAGAGAAAGAATAATCGCTCAATTATTTACATCAACACTTGCTGTTGGAGACTTTTAGAAAACCTGTTCTTCACTTGGAAGAGAAAAATTGTTTTCAAATTCATTCCAATAGATTCAGTCGGTCAGAAAAAAAAAATCTGGGTTACTAATGGACCCTTTCAAAAGTTCCAAGAAACCCTCAAATATATTCATCCTTGATCCATTCATTTTTACGTTAGTTTTACATTTTTTCTTTTAATTTTGGAGATCACCACATTTTGGCTATCGAATCCCTAGTCTTCGTTACGATGATTTTTCATATGGTAATTTAGTTAAAAATGAGGCGCATAAACGGCCACCCACGTGAGTCTCTTTCATTTTTTCTTGTACATACTTTTTTGTATTCGATGGCGAAAAATCGAGTGGTCTCTTTTTTCTCATTTAAGTGAGCTCTAACGGCTACTTCATGGCGCGTTAGATGGTGCCGTGTGCTTCTATTATTCTGTTACAAACGAGAAAGATTTTTTGAGAGCGTGTCCAAGCGGGAATGCCGCTTTAGTTTACATGGGTTCTTGCTACTGGGACGGCTTTGACACGCGATCGATTGCTCTTTTCTATTAGTCGCGCCTTTTCTTTACATCATTCCTTAATAAAAGAAAACCCTTTTATTCCATCATTTTTTAAGACTAGTTTTTATATATGCAGATCTATGACTATATATTTAAAAGCACATAAACGATGCGGTTAAATGTGGGATAGGCATGGCTCATTATGAAAATGTTTTCATCGGCCTAGGAAATCGGAACTATTCTGGTGTTCATCGTTAATTAATCATATTGGATTGAAAAATGGTTAATAGTAATTTTTATTTGTGAACCACGATTCGACTGCTCGGTACAGTAATTTTTCTTGGACTTTTCTCTTCGTGTAGGCCATTGAAATATTATCATGTGCTCACCCCCTCTATCCGCATCTGGGGAACCGTTTTCAGGATCATTTCCTGCAGCATCTTCACGTTTCACACCAGAGACACCGTCCTCTAGTTGACAACAGTCCATTATCAAATTCTCATATTCTCTTCCACTGCAACAAAAAAATCACATGTTACATGAAGGTTATTAAATTGTTATTTATACATGTTAATATTGTAAATTATATATATGGAAGGTTGATAAAGAATTATGCAAAATTATATTCCAAGTCTTCGGTAGTACAGTGGTAGTATTTCCGCCTGTCACGCGGACGACCGGGGTTCAATTCCCCGCCGGAGAGATTTTTATTTTACTAAAAATTCAGAGAAGTATCTTCAACAATATTTTTTTGTCTCCTAAAAAATTATGATTTATCCAGTTATCACTTTTAGTTACACTTTAAATTGAATAATGATTAAAGATTTCTTGGTGCCCATTTATTCTGTCTTAGCGGGGTGAATTAAACTTAGGGGAAGTAGGGCGAAGGTAACAAGTATTTTTAACAACCATAAGAGAATATGACGTTACAATACCTAATAACATAGTTGACGCAAATGATGTTTTGTTCCTCGGCATTTTTGGAATTACAAACAACAGTAGCACATGTTTGCAGCCACGTGTATCCTCCACTTTTATTCATTAATCTGTAGTAATGCGTGAGAACTTGACCCTTATTGATGACTGAAAAATAATAATTGGAGTGTTATTAAAAAAGTTAATAACCACGGTAAATAATAAAAACTAATATAATTCTAAATATGTGAGAGGGGACGAAGAGTTTTCCAGTCACGTTTCGGAGGAATATTCCTAGACTAGTAGTTTAAGGGTAAGGTAGAATGAGTTGAGTTGGTGGAAAGTTAATAAACTGAACAAAGCGAGAATGAAGGATAGAGAGGAAACTAGGTGTGGCGTTGGAGGGAAGGTATCAAGTGAGGTACCTCCCTTTAGCCTCCTGTCGCCACCCACTTTTCGAAAAGCGTCGAGGGTAAAGAAGAAGACAAGGTAGACAAGGTAGATAGATCAGAGAGTGAAGGGAGAGAGCTATATGACTGAGAGCATGGTAACAACTACGGGTGGAGATGCCGCATCCGGCGTGCTACTACGTCGCTTCCTGAATACCAACTAAGGACAATCCATGGTGGTCGTCAAGAACCCATACTATCCTCTTTCCCTCTCTTCAATAGAGCGAAAGTACGGGAAACGACATGGTTTTATGACCAAAAAGTTTATATAATATTACAAAGACATTTTCGTAAGTTTTTCTTCTCCTATCTTTATTTATTTTTTCCCCTATTTTTTCTCTCATAAAGCAGGAAAGATGTGACGAATGGTTTTAGTACTTACGATCGACGTGTGATTTTCTTAGACGATTTGCATCTTCTCCGTGACAAAGGGCGTACAGACTTTTTCCAGTCAGTTCGTCAGCTGTGTAATCTAATAATTCTGACACTCTGAAAAGATGAGAAAATCTTGTTTAGTTTTTGTTGCATGTATTTACATATTTTCACTTGAAAAAAATAATTAAAAATACATGATGCACATCTATAGAAAAATTCGGTCGATGCTGCCTAATAAATATTGTTGATTCGATAAATTGTAATTTCTTCTACATCCAGTTGCAGTAATTCAATTTCGCCATTGGGTAACAGTCATCGACGGAATTCTCCAATCAGTGGATGGACTTACTTTGGTTCACAATGTGCTATCCGAAAATCAAAGCTGATCCTAGTAACAAACATATCAGCCTCCAATCGAATTTCATGTACACTGGGTGGTGGCAGGGCAATGGCGATTCCCACCATTCCCATCAGTGGTGGTGATGATTTTCTAGTATGACTGAATGGGTATTGCGGCCTCAGTCGACAGAGAAGCAAAACGACCTACGGAAAACGAATAGAGCCTTGAATTAGGTTGATATGTTCAACTGGGCGAATAAATAGGGATTTAAGCAGGGTTGGTAAGGCCTCGTTAAGACAAGACCGTTGGTCATAACTTCGTTTAGACGGAATTCGGGGAAGTCCCGCGGCGGATCGTTAGAGGGGAGCTCCTTTTGGTGGGGAAAAAAATATTAGGGTGACATCTAATGAAGGAACTAACGAAAATCCCCTGGTAAATGACACCTAATTGGCGATGCATTATGAACATTATCATTATGACACTTACTCGGTACCCGGAAGACTTGAAATGACACCCTCTTTTCGTCAGCGTCGACTTCATTCTAACGCAGAACGCTCTATCATATCCTTTGTACAGTCCGCTCGTGGTTAATGACATCACAGATGACACTGTAACATAGAAGAGCAGAAAGTTGTAAAATCAAATGAACGTAAGGGAGGATTATTAGGTTACCGCTCAATGTTGCCATTCTATTAAACGATGTGTGGGGAGAAAAAAGAACGCGGGCGATATAAATTCGGATGATTTATTGGGTGGAAATGAACTGAAAATGAGTTCATTCATTTGTTGCAAGCATGGGAGTGGTGATGATTACGGGTGTGTCGTGCAGGAATACATTGACAAATTTGTCAGGAAGAAGCGGGTCTATGTGAGAACATGTCGACGGACGTGTCCAGTGGCAGCAGTGGCAGAAGTGGCAGGAGTGGCAGAAGTGGCAGAAGTGGCAGAAGTGGCTCCTCCTCGTCGTCGTCACGAGCTCATCGTCCGAATGCAGAGTACGATACGGACTATCGCCCCTTCAAATAGTCGTGGAAAAGAGAAAGAGAGAAGTTTCCGAATAGCAGTGAGAAAGGTGAAGAGGATGGAAGCGACGAGTGATGAGAGAGAGAGAGAGAGAGAGAGAGAGGTGAGGAAGGGGAGACGTTATACGTGCCAGGAGGTGTAGCCATCGCGGAATAACAATTGGGAAAATGGTCGGGGGTTGCATACGTATGCGAGACGAAAACTAGGGAATAGTATTGAAGAAAGACAGAATGAAGTCCAGACTCAGGACGACCGTGAACCCCAGTAGACGTTTAGGGTTCTCCATTCTCTCACTAAGCTACCACGTCTATGAGGTTATGTTTTCAGCGTATCCTCAAAGCGCCCCCTGGAATACACTCTCCTAACCTCTTTTGCAACCCCTGTCACGACTGGCCCATACCCTTATTCTCTCTTTTCTGTCTCTTTCTTCCCGTACTCTTTCCACCATGTAACACCACGTGGTGGCACCGACGGGCACGTCCCGCACGTCCGATGGTTTCTCATCCAGTCCACGTGATCATACCACAACCCCGTCGATCTGCACGTTCTAACTTGCGGGACTCGTCCTCGCGTGGCTTTTGGGCGTGACCGAGGCACGCTTTCCGGGTTACGCGTTCATTCAGCTTGTTCTCAACTCGCCTCGAATTGTGTCTGGACCACTGGGCTACATCACGTACCATAGCATCACGATTTTATGAAGCTTTTCGTGTAATGCTGAATGAAAAAACACGTCTTCTCATTCGAACTCGCACCACTTGACAGTTCGAGAAACGGAGAATGGTTCAGAAGTATAAAGATTACAACCCGCGAACAACTTTGTCCATAAAGCACATTGGACAAGCTGAATCAAGCGCAATTCAGGGTATCGAAGGTCATTGAAGGAGTACACGCAAAGAAAAAAGCATCAATTCAAGCATCATTCAATATCTTTTTAAGTTTATTCAAGTTCAATGTTGGAACCATGCAATCGTTTTCGTATTCAAATCAGCATCTGCCTCATTAAAGTACCCGTAAAGGGTTACGAACAGCATGAAGAGAAAGGAATCTAATTCAATGTATTGATTGCATTATTACGTATGAGTCTGAAAGACTAGATGAAAACTTGATTTCTTACGATATCTTTCGTAATTTCACCGCAGCGACATTTGTATTCAAGTCAAATCAACCCTTTCTTCCCAATCAATCCCAAGTTTTCTAGACGCACTTTGGATTTCCATTTTTAGTAGGAACGGAAGCAGCTGAACCGTTCTCTCGACAACCGGAAGGACGTAACCATTAAGTTTGCCGTAACTTTATTCGAGATTCTAAAGCATGTATAATTGAGTTGAAGTTAATTACCATCCGGATTTGCAGTGGAAGTGGAGCCATGCTCTTCAGAAGCAGCACTACTTGGCGACGCAAGACCCGAACTGGAGGAGTGTGGACCAGATGATGATCCTGTGGAAGTCAGACCTAGACCAAGTTGCTCGGCAACTTCAGCATGATCCTGCTGATGAACATAATCGAAGACACTCGATCCCGTCATCTCCACCTGCACAATCAACAAAACAAATGATCAATATACAAATCCGTCATCGACCATCAGTCAACATTATCATACTAATTCTTCGCGCTTTAAATGTAGAGTACCCATCGACCCAGAAGTTGGCGTCATTCGTCGCATAATTGATGACAATGCCGACGAAAACTTCTCCTTGAATAGAATGCTATATGTTCTTGGTATTGACCACGTGAAAGTCATGACTTGGATTGAAGTCAAACGCGTATGACAAATTGATCGAATTAAGCATTCAATGCTTGCTGCTAACAGTTGTGTAACTGATCAGGCAGTATTTCTTTTCTTTTTCTCTGGTCTTTATTTCTTCATGGCTCAAATGTCTGGATATTGTTGGCTTTGGTTGATAGGTTTGAAGTGCAGGAGGTGTCGTCGGCTGTTTGGAATAAATTAGCTGACTGTCTATATGGTGTCGTTAGAGTAGATGAGGAGGAAGGTGAGGTGGAGTACGAGGTAGAAGTTTATAGATTCGGTATCGAAGTTGTACGTGTCGCGGATACGAGCAACGATTAACCGGGCGAATAGACTTTGCCTCGTTTGGTATTGTCCTCGCGTTCGATCCTCGACGCTGAGCCTTCGAGGAATCGATGAGCACGAGGCCGACAAATAACACCATCAGTACATTGTGTACACCTTTCGGCTTTCCATGGGGCTTCGCTTTTCCGTACCCTGTTACATTTTAATGCCCAGGTCCACCATTTGACTCGTGCCAATTGGTTCCATGCTGATTCTCCTTGACTCTTCTCCTTTTTTCTATCAAATGAATTTAAATTGCAACGTGAAAAGTGATTTTCTTCATTGGAAATGTAAATCTCTGTCGGAAACATCGAACCCAGAATATTCAATGACCTCTAGCATTTATTTTTCAATGAGTTGTTTATGAGAAAGATCATTTGTTTCTTCGAAATGAGATGATGTTCAGAATAACAAATTGTGTCAGCCTGCTACCGTTGCGTCCTCATTTTCAACTCATACTTTAAGCAGACCCATCTACCGTTCCTGAATGTCATTCAGAATTCAAAAACATCAGAGCCGTATCCATCAAGATTCTTCATAAATCCATTATAGAGGTTGACTCGTCAGTTACGAGAATGATTCTCCACATGTGCATTTCAAAATTTCCAACCTCTCGAATTCCCTCGGAAACTCCACATATATATATATATATATATGATTCCCTTCCGCCTCCCACCCCCTTCCCCGCCCCCTTCCTGAAATACCCTATTGATTGCCCCAGGGTTTCGTACAGGAGACTCCAGAGCCGTACCCCGTCAGTCGCTCCTCCAGCTCCCTAGCTTTGCCGAGGCCAAACTAACCCCTCACCCCTTTTCCTACCCTCCAAGAGCAGACCTTTCTATCCATCCATCCACCTCACACTGACGGTAGAAAAGCCCCTTTTGGCATATACCTATCCTTTTCCTCTCCGACCCGCGTTGGCTTTCCCCAGTCCCACCTTCGTCCAAGAGGCATTAGGAATGGCGAACACGCCGCCGTGCAGAGGCTACGTGAGCCGCATTTCTACCC